TTTCCTGTAGAGTAGACTGTCGTAGCACTAGTAAGAGATAAAAATAATACTGAGTCTGGGAGAACCAGTGTGATGTCGTGATTAAATGGAGATACAGGTTCAGTTCTCCACAACATCATGAAGTTTGCTGGGTGACCATGGTCTAGTTAAACTTTCCTGGCCTTACTCATCTCATACGGTTGTTGTGAAGATAAAATGGGTGTGGAGCAACATATACATTACTCTCTGCTACAAACCTGCTCTGAACATTACTCTTTGCTTCAAATCTGCTCTGTAGATGCAACCTTAACATACAAAATAATGATTCTGATAACTTATGATAGCGATAATACTCCAGGTTAATCAGTTCACAGCATAAACAGGTAAGCAAGTACATGTTTTAAATATAGCTCTGTGGAGACAGTTGAAGGGCTTGAATTCTTCACTAAGTGTGAAATTTTCACATCACCACTAAGCAGCAGCACTGAACTGGTGAAAACTGGAAGCTCTGCATGGTGAGAAATCAGCAACATCGGAATGGGTTCAGAGCTGTCACTTGGCCAGGTGAATAGACCCTTAGTAGATTATTAATAAAAGTGTCGTAAGAATGCTCTCATAAAAATGGCTTTGGAAGTCTTTGTCTTCATTTCAGTGACTTAGCGTGAACAAAATGAGGGGAAAGGAAGCCATGTAAAAATGCCTAAGCATATGGAACATCAATTCTAGTCAGTGACTGTGTAAGGAGTCAGTATATTTACTACAGATCCATCATTGGGGGAGGGGGGGGAGGTGGCAAAGAGAGAGAACAAGCTCCCTAGAATCAGTCTGCCAGTATGCCATATTAGCTGGGTAAGTGAAAACAAGCTTTGATTCCCAGCCATAGACAGGAACAGAATATGGAACAATTGCAGCTTATTTTACCTCAGACTTTTAGAAGGCCATCTAAATTCAACATGTCTGACATGCTACATATATCTATGAAAACATATACGATACTGTTTCAATCTAACTGGGAAGACAGCAGAATATGTAAGCAACACAACATCAGGAGAAATCCTGGCTCTGAACTCAGCACTGCCATCCAAGGAAGTGAAGCCTGTGAGGTTTACGTACAGAAGGCCATATGCCACTCATGATCTGTTCCCACCCTCCATGCCAGTGAGAATTAAGCAGGCAGAGCAAAGATGAAACCCACACACTGTTTCTCTTAGGAGATATTTTGGAAAAAAATGAAAATGCTTATTCTAATTTTAATGCTCATATTTAAATAGACCATCTGTCAATCTGTACCAAAGCCCTAGTTATACACAAATTATATTTTTTTAAAAAAAAGAATTAGGAATAGGAACCAGTATTAGCCAAACTTATTTGATTACCCTCATCTTTGGGATATTCCAAAGCCATATGTTAAGGGAGAACTTTTCCTAAAATTGTAATGTGTGTTATTTAGCCCTTTCATCTGGATCATAAAAAAAAGACTAAAATAATAAATTCAAAATGTTCAGCAATGAAAGAGAGATCAGAACTGCTGACAGATCTT